CACGGCCTGTAGCAGCCTGGGGCCTCCCGAGAAACGAGGCGTAAAGAGCGGCCGTCACCAGCCGGCGCGCAGTGGGTGGCGTCTCTGTTCGATTCCCGGCCGGGGCGCAGGCCCGGGTGGCGGACTCCATCCCCAGTGAGGGGCGTGCAGGAGGCGGCCGATCCATGGTTCTCTCTCATCATTGAGGTTTCCATCTCCCTCCCTCTCCGAAGTCAATAAAATATATATTTTTAAAAAGAGCGGCTGGGGTCTCCCTATGTCAGCTCTGCCAAGTAAGGACGATTCCTGATCAGCTTGTCGAGCAGCCTCTGGGGCTCAGCTACCTGAGAACTGGCCTCTGTGTTTCCTAACCCGTCGTACTCCCGCCCTGACCGCGGAGACGGCACCATGGCTTCACAATCTCTCACAGCCCTGCCCTGGCGGCGGCTCAGTTGGCTGGAGCGCCGTCCCCACATGCCAGGGTTGAGAGGTTTTGGGTTCGCTCTCCAGTCAGGACACACAGGAATCAACCAATGTGCGCGTAAATAAGTGGGCAACAAATTGATGTCTCTCTCTCTCTCTCTCTCCCTTCTTCCCTCTTCCTAAAATCAGTACATAAATTGCCCTGGCCAGTTTGGCTCAGTGGACAGAGCATCGCCTGCAGACTGCAGGTCCCGGGTTCAACTCCCGGTCAGGGCACAGGCCCGGGTTGCAGGCTCGATCCCCAGGGTGGGGTGTGCAGGAGACAGCCGGTCCATGGTTCTCTCTCATCATTGATGTTTCTTCCTCTCTCGGCTTCTCCCTTCCTCTGTGAAACCAATTAAAATACATTTAAAAAAATAAAATCAACACATACATTAAAAAAGAAAAAGAAACACTATGTCACCGCCTTTTCACCCGCCACTTCCGTGGTCTCGGAGCGGAACGCGGCCAAGTCCTGGCTCCTCAGGGCCTGGAGCGTCACCGCCCACCTGTCTCGCTGGGTCTGGGCTCGGGCACGGCCGCCCTCCGGCTCGTGTTTAACCCCCACAGGGGCCTGGCTGTGGCCCTGGCCAGACAGGACCACATCTGTCACGTCTGGGCAGCGATGGTGAGCAGACGGGCAGACGTCACGGAGCCACTTGTCTGCTGTCCTCACCCCTCGGCGGGCGGGCGAGCGAGGCGACTGGGCAGAACTCACGGGGAGAGCCTCACGCCCAGAGGTTCTCTGAGACCTTAGGGAAAAGCCTCAGCCTTTAGCGCAATAGCAGCCCCTGGGGGTGAGCCCCTGCAGGCGATGGCCAGGCTGAGGCCCGGCCGGCGTGGCTCAGGGGCTGAGCATCGACTAGGAACCAGGATGTCCCTGGTTTGACTTCCGGTCAGGGCACAGGCCCGGGTTGGGGACTCAATCCCCAGCGGGGAGTGTGTGGGATGTAGCTGATCGATGATTCTCTCTCATCATGGATGTTTCTCTCTCTCCTTCTCCCTTTCTCTCTGACATCAATAAAAATACATTTTAAAAATAATAAATAAAGCAGGTGCCCTGGACATGAGTGGGGCGAGGCGAGTTGACTTGGAAGGTGTGAGTCAGGGCGCTGTTGGCCCGGCCACTGCAGGCGCGAGGGCTGCTGGCTGCCCCGCCCACGGGGCTCTGGCCTCCTGGCACCTGAGAGCCTGGGCGGCAGGCCGTGCAGACAGCACCAGGGAGGGTCCGGGCAGCAGGACCCGGTTTCCACATCGGTCATGTTTCCCCGAACTTGAGTCTAGACACGGGCACGCAATGTCCCCGATTTCTGTTGCCGCTGCGTGTTTCCTAGTGCCCGGCCGTCCCTGGCGTCCTGGCTGCGGCCCGACGTCCCCCCTTTTCTCGGTGAAATGCTACCGGCCGGCAGCTCAGTCTTTCCGAGGGCGGGGCGCGCTATGGGACATCTAGGACGCCCTGTTTGTCTCTCCGGTTCGCAACTCTGCCCCCCGGAGGGCGGGGAGGGCACTGCGGGGAGGGCAGGGGGACTGTGCAGAACGGCCGGGGAGGCATCCTGGAACCCGGTGCCAGACTGTGCTGTAGACAGTCTAGAGGCTCATCTCCATTTCTTTTTTAAAAATATATATTTCTATTGATTTCAGAGAGGAAGGGAGAGAGAAAAGACATTTTTATTGATTTTTAGAGAGAGAGGAAGGGAGAGGGAGGGAGAAACTTTGATGTGAGAGAGAAACATCAATGTGCCCTGACTGGGAATCGAACTGTGACCTCCTGGTTCATAGGTTGACGCTGAACACTGAGCCACGCCGGCCGGGCTGTTGGCAGAATTTTTTTGAAAATTACTGAGGCGCCCTGGCCGGTGTGGCTCAGTGGCTAGAGAGTTGGTCTGTGACGGAAGGGTCCTGGGTTCGACTTCCGGACAGGGCACACGCCAGGGTTGCAGGCTGGATCCCCAGTAGGAGCGTACAGGAAGCAGCCGATCTGTGATTCTCTCTCATCATGTGTTTCTCTCTCTCCCTTCCTCTCTGAATCAATAAAAACATTTTTTAAAAGTGTACTTAGGTAATTAATTCATTACCAGATGGACACCTGAGGGTCCTTACCCTGATGAGTACTGAGAAGAGAAGCCCCCGCGCCCTGCAGAGCACCCCATGTCAGTCCCCACAGGCGCCCAGGGGCGAGGAGTTTGAAATGGGGGAGGTGAGGTGCAGTGAGCCCCGCAGGGGGGTAGGTGCCCCCCCAGCACCTCCCTCTCCCCATCAGCCCTGCTCCCCCAGGCGCCCGCATGCATGGACACACGCACACACACGCACAGACATGAGTACCGTGCGCACACAGCACATGCACACGTGCATACATGCGTGCACATGCACACACACGTGCAGACATCCATACCCGTGCACACAGAGACACACGCACCCGTGCACACAGAGACACACGCACACGCGCCCTGCGGCCTGCGCTGACCTGGGGGACCGCAGCACCTTGAACAGCAGCTCCTTGGGGATCTTCTGCAGGTGGATCTGCCTCCCCACCTCGGGGACCAAGTTTATCTCCATCCACTGCTCACAGGAGGCGCTGAGCGGCTCCTCCTTGTACTGAGAAGGGAGAGGCTGGTGGGGGAGGCACCCGGGCTCTGGCGCCCCCTGCTGGGCAGTGGGGGGGCGACAGGCGGCGGACGCGGAGCATCACGCCCAGGCTCCGGCCCACGTGGTCCCCCTAAACCAGCCCAGTAGCTTATTCAGAACTCCCCATATGATAAGTACAGAAGCCAGGGTTTGAATTCAGGCAGGTTTCCGCCGGGACCACCGAGACGCCGCCCGCCGGGGGCTTCCTGATCGCCGACCGGGAAGGTGCGGGCAGCGAGTTATCTTTGAAAAACAGGCGTTTAGGACCATCTCAGATGCACCGTGACATGCTGGTCCCGTGTGGCCGGTGTGACGGCAGGCGTGTCTGTGTTGGCATGAGCGGCCTCGCTCTGGGGGGGAGGCTGCAATGGGGAGGCCAGGCTCGCACCCAGGACAGCCCCCGAGACACCACGCCAGGGCGCCCCCTCCTGGGCCCCCGTTCTGCACGAGCTGGATTACATCCTTCCCAGCCCTGACTGGGCCCAGGGGACAAATTCCCCCCCCCCCCCCGCGACTCCCACCAGGAGGTCCCGGAGGCGGTTCGCTGTTTTGGGGCGAAAGTCTGTGCTGTCCCCACTCCCCACCCCCATGATCAAAGCTTGTCTACCTTTTGGGTGTAACAACATCCTTTTCAAATAAGTGGTTTTTCAAAACTGTTCACTTGGCGAAATAAAATGTCGGTGCCTTTGGGGGACACATTGGCGCGGGGCCGGGGGTGACCCAGAGTCTGGCAGGCCCCCTGGCACTCACGCCCCCGCCAGCGGGCTCTTACCTTGCAGCCTGCCTGGTAGAAGTTGGCGACGTTGCTTGGCGAGAGCCCCTGGACCATGATGGCCACGCACCTGCAGAGACAGAACTGCTGGTCCCGGGCCCCGGCCGCCTGGAGGGTCCCACTCAGCCCCAGACGGCAGCAGAGCCTGGGGGGGGGGACACAGACACCCCCACATGTGGCCAGAGCACCCCCTGTTTGAGGGCCCAGGGGGAAGGCTGGGTCCCACACGGGCATCGGCTCGATGGGCAATGTGGGCGCTGGTCTTTGGATGTTTCTCTCCTGTAAGGTCTGCATGGACCACGGGTAACGTTTGGAAAAATGACCCAATTTTCCAGAAAGAACACCCGCTCCCATCCACCACCCTCCGCGCTCGGAGCTGGGATTCGGAGGCCTCGCGGCCAGAAGCAGCCGCTCGGATGGGACACATTCCAGACCTGGACGCGCTGGCCCCGCGCCCACAGCCGCCCGTCCACGACTCTCACCTTTGATGTTTCTCTCTCTCCATCTCCCTTCCTCTCTGAAGTCAATAAAAATATAGTTTTAAAAAATTTTAAATGTAATAAAACAAACCCTCAATAAAGTTTAAAAAACAAGTGCTGGGGGGGGCGTTGTGGCTGGGGAGAGATCAATGGGAAAAAAGGAGACTAATCTAATACTGTAAACAGTGAACAATTTTTTTAAAAATGAAAAAAT